TTTGTTTTTTTACTCTTGTAAGAAGTTAATAACTGCGACGAGCAAGATCCCTCAGATACAAGAAGTTACCTATTTTTAAACCATCATTTTTACTGCTGCACACCATGCTCAACTCCAAATATATTAGCACCAAGCAACTCACCATCTTCCTCTCTGGAAAAAACACGGGATGAGCTCATGGCACCTTTTGCTCGGCGTTCCAAAGGTAAGAAGTCGGAGGTTACTGTTACGCTGTGTTGCCTGTAGAGCTGCAGTCCTTAATTCCATTTCCTAAGCTTAGCATCACACCTTTCTTTTATATGTATATATAAACCTATGCTAGGTTTGTATGTATTTATTTTATATATATTTTTATATGTATAAACCTATGCTAGGTATTGAAACAAATATTGGATTGCCTTATTGCTGAAGTTCTCTCTCTGTTCTATCGGTATGAGCTGCTCACATGAAAGCATGACAAAGTGGGGAGATGATCAGCTGTAAGAGAGCAGTAAAACTCAGCCAGTCACTCTGTCTTTATGTACCCCCCACGGCCCTTTGAGATACCACGGTCGGGAGCATATTTTCTGCTTACAACTGGAGGAAAGAGAGCGTCCATCCAGTATGAGTTTCAATAAAATGAGAAAGAGCAGTTAGCTATATATACCATTATGTTCCGCTGTTTAATTCTCCCTTTCTTATGATCTACTCACTCTACTGGTGCAGAACACTTCCTCTGCTAAAACTCTGCCTATGTATTTGTTCCATCCTAGTAAGAGAAATCTGCTATTCCTCTGGCATACCTAGGACGAGCAGCAGCAATACAGGTTTCCCTGCAGAGCCTCGTTCATGTGCCATAGCCTTATTTTACAAGAATTCTTGCCGGGGCTGGGATGTTTTTTCATTCTTGCTTTTGAGATTCCAAAAGTTTGCTATGAAGAAGTGGGATGAAATGAGCAAAGGTACAGGAGGCCATGATGCGGGTGCAAGATATTCAACTTGGATAGCCAAACTTGAATCAATACCAAAAAATGACTCCCACGGTATGCACCACAAACATTTAGTCTGCTAATACTTTCACATTTTTAAAAATCTGCTAGTAAATGTCATGTTGATCCTCAGTACAGTATGTGAAAATAATACCTTCTTCAAAACATGAAGAGAAACATAAGATAGACAAGTGCTTTTAAGCAGTAGATCTCAAAAGGATTAATGAAGAACTTGAGTCTCATGAGCTTCCCCACACTGGAAAGCTACAATGTGGAATTTGGGCATGCTCGAAGTTATCCAGAAGCTGAATGGTAGAACAAGGAACAGGATCTAAGGCAGTCACGAGAGAACCCTACAAGTGTTGAGATGCCGATTCTTAAAAAAACAACCAACCAACCAAAATAACACAACAAAAAAGCCACCTACTGGAAAACCTCTAATTGAGTGAGAAGGTTGGTTATTTTCACAAACGCATAGCCTAATAAAATCTCAGGAGGAGAGCTGAGAGCATAATGGGCGTAACTTTTCTTCTAGATGACTAATATTTTTATAAAATCTTTATGTTAACGTGTATTTTACTGCATTGTTTGAGCTGCATCTCAACTGATTAGAATAAATAGTTTGTCTGGATTTAGAGCATCAATCTCAGATTGGTGCTTAAGGGTTGGCTTAGTAACTTCAACGTGATCTGCTACCCGGTGCGTTTTTTCACAGTGCCTCATGCACAGCAGTGACTTCTAATACGTGCCCCTTGCCTGCCCTCTCATTGCTTGGTTTTCGCTTTTTTGTTGCACAGAAAATTTGGAACAGCAGCAGCAGTCCCAGAGGTGTTTGGTTACTGGAAAAAAAGCTGATCATTTCCCAATTATGAGCAGAATAACTTTTAGAACTATTAAACCAAAAAAAGTTATTTGCAAAACCTGTCTTGCATGCATACTTGGTCGGCAGAAGATTTTTAAACCCCCAGCTAAGTATGACTTGCACAAACTCATTTGTTTTTTAAATAGCAAAGCTGTTTCGTAACATATTGCCAAATTTAAGTATTGCAAATTAATTACTGCAAATTTTTAGGAGATCTCAGGAGTTTTGAAATCAATGGTATCGAATGGCAATAACTACTCTTTCCTAGTAAGATAAAAATGCTGCCTTTTACAGCACTAGGAAACAGTAACATTATATTGTTACTGATGATCTGTGTGCAAAATTTCTGAAACGTGATAAGATATATGCCTTTACTGCTCTTTTAAGCAACTAGCTGCGATATCAGTCACTGTAAAAACTTCTGATTAATATTCAGATCAATGGCTTGAAGAAAACTATGACTAAATTTTATTTGCTTTTGAATCAGATAAAAAGTTGCTTTAGCTTTTAGCTAGATTATAGTTAAATAAAAATATTCAGCAGTTACAGAAACTGCATCAAAATCAAGTATCTCATATGATTGCGTAATCTGCACATTCTCAGTACAACTTGAGGTTGAAGTTACTGAACGCAGGAGGTGAATACTTTCCAGACTTGACTGAAAACTAAAAAAAAGATGCAAAAGTTAACTGTCATTTATAATATAATATGAAAACTTGTATTTTGTCGATAACATTCCATTCCTACTACTGAAGCTCAAAGAATCCTTTCATGCTATTTTTAACTAACCTCCTCCTCCATCAGGTTCTAAAAGGAAAAAACACTTAGAAGGTTCAATAGAGCACTCTCTAAGCTCTGCCCGAGCAATGCTTCATTAAATATTGATACCCTTCAGGAAGAGAATACCAAAACGGTAGGTAAGCAGCCCTTCATAACCTTGTGGGGTTTTCCTACAAATTACCAGAGAAACACAAAATAAGGCACTGCTGTTCTTGTTACATCTCTAACAACGGAAGCATGATTGGCTCGCTCTCACAGCACAGTCATGCTTTTCCTCACACTCCAAATACTTTACAAGGTGGTCAGTAACCTCCTCCTCTTCGTTCATTAGCCGGTAAGGGGAAGACTTCTGTTTCTCAGACTGTTGAGGAAACAATAGAAGTTTGAAATACGCTCTGTAAAACACATTTTGCTATTACACTTTAATGGGCAAGTTAGAGTCTATACCTCGATACTTGATCCAATAATCTAACAGACTGTAACACAGGGGTTTCACCACTTTCCTTAGGTGCTTGGAAAACTGAAAGCAATGTAGGAGTAGGACTAGAAGTCAATTTGGCTGCTCCAGAAAGATTTAATTTTGGTAATTCTCCACGAGGAGGTCCATGTTGTTGTTTTGTTTTTTCCTGGACTTTCCTAAGAGAAGGTTTTGAAAATAAATAAACAAGATCCAATTTCTTTCTGAGAACATCTTAAGGAATAAAATTAAAAGAGTAAATCCAAATAATCAGAAAAAAAATAACAGCCAAACAGTACTTCAGCTAATTCTTTTTTACAAATCACTACCTCACTTGATGTTTCTTGCAATTTTTCCTGAAGGAACTTCTTACAAAGCCCACAATGATGAACCCCAGAACTAAGTTGGTGGAAAAAGTGGCTGCTGCTATGGAAGGAGAGTTCATGCTTTCAAGGTTAAATGCACAGCAGAAAATAATTTATAATTATTTTTGCTACTGTAATTTGGTTTTTTGAGAAAAACCTGTATTTGAGAGTTTTTCATGTAGTACTAACTTCTATCTCACCTTGCAGATACAGCAAACCCTTAAGAGTGAACATGTTGAGTATTCTTCACATAGCTTGAATATAAACAAATTTTTAGTTTGAAGGAATTTTTAATCAGATTTTAATTTTTTTATTGCCAGTGTCAAATATAAGTGTAGGATTTTCCCAGATATCATCTAAATACAGGATAATTAAGTTTTTAAAAAAATAAAAATTATTTGTTCAAAATGTAGACTGAAGGCCTGAAAAGGCACAAACACACTTTCTGACTCTGCTACAACTTCATCTGTACAACTTTTTAACTCAAAGGCAGACAGCAAAGATGAGGATCAAGATATTTTAAGAAAATGTGGAACTGTCCCTCTAAGTAATAGCAACTACTACAACCGTTTACTGAAGGGATTATGTGGTATCACAGCTTCTAAATTCTAACTCATGATTTTCAGGGCTTGCGGGGGGTGGAACTGCATCAGGCCCAATACAGATCAGTGTTTAGGCAGACTGAATCAAACCAAGTAATCAGTTTAAGGAAAACATTTGTTTCTAGCTAACAAGCTCAGTGTCACAAATTACTTTCTCTAAATGGGCTGACAATTCCTCTGCTTAAGTATTACCTGTCTTTGACTTTCCTTTGAAATTTGCCACAAATGCAGAGGTACTTGCCCTGCTGTATTTCCTAGTAACCTTAATTTTTTGTGCATGGCCAAAGCTTGTGTATCAGCTGCCCTAAAAAGTTTGGGGAAAAAAGAAAAAAAAGAGAAAAGCATCAGTTGTGCTTTAGGTGAAGTTTGGACTCAATGCAAAGAATTATGTTGACTGAATTATGTTCATTGTATTGCAGGCTAAGTACTAGCACTGTAAACAAACTTTATTCCAGTCCACTTTAAATAGTAAGCACGCAGCGCTCCCCCCACTTTTTAATTTTAGTCTTCAAGACTGAAGTGATTTGAAGTCACTTGCCAGAGTTCTTAAAAATAAGGGTGCTGTAATGCTTGATGGGCAGCAATTCTCTCATCAGGATCATATTTTAACATGACATAGAGGAGAGAGAAGCCCTTGGGAGACAAATTGTGCACAAGAGGAGGGATTCCTTTTCCTTTTTTAAAGGGGAAATCAAAACTCACCAGTTCTTGACCTGTGTTATGCAAGTTGAGAACAGTTATTCATGCACATTCAGAAAGAATTACAATTTACTGAAAAAAATTATTCTCATCTGATTTAGGTAATCATTTATTAGGGACAAGTAAGTAATACTTGGAAAAAAGTGTTTTCTCTCCTAACAAGTTATGTCATTGGCCTTAAAGATACCATGGGAATAAAAGGCCAGATAAGATTGATGTAGGCTCAGATTTCCTCTCCTCTGCCTACAAGGATCACGAATGCGTGACTATCTCTGGGTAGGGATAGAAGACACTGCTCTTTGGTCAGCAGCCGTCACAACAGTATTAGATTTTTGTGGTGGTTCCCTGAGCAGAAATTGCACACAGTTGTACAGTTATATTGTGGATATTTAAACAGTGAGATTAATAACTATGGGAGTGCATACTTACTGCTTGAACTTGTTGAGAGTTTTGTTAGCAGGAGTGCCTATAACGTCATGGATTTTTGAAATTTGGCCCAGCTCATCAGATCCAGGAAAGAGAGGCTGAAAACTGCAAAGTAAGAGATAGTATTAGCACTAGAGAAGACACAAACTAGTTTAAGTGGCATAGCTGCCACTTCAGTTAAAAAATTTTCATTTGCGAGGAAGATACATTTTAGAATTATTCATTTGTGGACAGTTTAATACCAACCAGCAACTGAAAGATAACATGCGAGGAGCAGATTAATACAACTGCATGTTGGATGGAAAGAGTAGTTTGGGTTATTAAACAGAAACCTGTAGTTGCCCTCTCCTCGCAGGTTTGGGGTAAAATACGTAAAGAGAACATCCCTCCTGGTGAAAGGCAATGGATGTGGGATTGTGTTTTCTTCTAGTGAAGTGGCAGTCCCCAGAAGACAATGTGCTTTCCTCATTTTAAGACAGCAGAGTCAAGCAGTCCCTCTTGTTGTGTATGCACATAAAAGTATATATTTATAAGAAACATTCCATTCCTAACACTCAGGTTCTTTGCAAGCAGCAATACTGGAAAGATGGTAATTTGAACTGCATTCCTGAGCTTGATCCTCAGTTAATATAAAACTTGCATAGAGTCCTTGAAAACATTGTTATCGATGGAGCAATCTGACTTCACGAGTTAGGTCCACTACCATTTGTTTCTTGCACGTTGCCTTTTTCCATGTTAGCAGAGCATTTCCTTGGGCTTATAATTTAAGAAACACTTCAGTAGCACAACATGATTCGTGAAAGCGATACATTCAGCCCTCTTTGTAGAAGGAGGAAACTTCTTTTAACTGTTTGCAAATTCAGTCAAACAGCTGGCTGCACACTTCTCTGAATGTCTTTACAAAGCTTTGAGTAGGGGAAGGAGAGAAAAGAGATCCGATTCATGTTGTGCAGCTGTATCAAGACAAGCAGTTGGGAGTAGCTTTTGTGTGCACTACAAAAATGTCCTGTCTCTAAATGTAAAGCTATAACTTAGGGAAGAACAACTGTGCAATCCACAGAAAAATGTAATCCAGGAACCATGATTTATAAGGAACGGAAAGAGGGAGACCAAGATTTGAAAGATAAGCATGGCTGAGTAAAAGACTAACAATTCTTACACAGTGTGGTGTAAAGCATAAAGGCTTACGCAAATGTTCAACAGCAAAAACTGCAAACTGCACTTAAAAAGAAACAAACCTGCCCATAACTTCCTTTATCTTGGCAAGGCTGTATCTTTTTTAATTCGGTAATTTCCAGTAACCATCCCTCATTTCTCTCTGAGCACATCTATCAGGTCTCTGAAAATGTGCAGTGGTTGCAAAGAATGAAGTTTGTTACATTAAGCTAAAATTATGAGGAAATATCTGTAAGGTTTTTTGCCCTAAGAAAACCTAAGTTTGCAGCGTGTAATTTTCTTGCCAAACTTCAAAGCCCACCTGATTCAAATTGAAATGGAAAAACACGGTATTTTTAAAGCTTTAGGTCCCAATTTACTTTGCAGGAGAACTGCCACATTTGGGATTTTTCTGTTAACAGTTTTCTGACCGAAGTAGAACTGTTTCTATGAGTTAGCAGGCAAAGCATAAGGGTTGTCATTTAATGTGATGGTGATGGCAGCAGCTGCACTTGCCATGTGGAGGAGGAGGAAAGAAGCAAAGCAAATGTTATCACTCCTGGTTGCATATCAGAGACAGCAGTGTGGGAGGAGAATAAAGAAGAACTGCTGCTGTTGCTAGGGCACAAAGATATTGGAGAAATACTCATGGTGGTTATTTTTCCTTTTTTCTTGAAGACTGGTGACAATTTTTTTGAGTTATAGTTTCATCATCATTGAAAAGCTCAAAGGACTTTAATCCGGGTTTTCCTGAACTCTTCCTTCATCAGAATCCGACTTCAAAATATTCCACGACATAAGGTCCTGGCACAAGGGTCTTAAACACGCTATATTATAAATCAAAGTAGTGAATCAGAGGGAGTGTCTTCTCTAATCTCCTCCGGTTTTGCAGAATAGTAAGTAAAAAAAAGAGGCAAACATTTTACCATCAAGTGCATGAAGAAGATTGAGGGTAGTTAGCAATGTTCATCACAGGAAATGAGCCATAGTCTCTTCAGAGATAAAGCAGAGAAAACACATTTTTACCAAACTCAAATATGAAGCCAATAGGAAAAAAAAAACCAAACCAAAAAACCAAAAACCAAACAACCAACAAAACAACCAACTGTTCAAAAATGTTATTTTACTTGTAAATAATATTTGTTGATCTTGAACATCCCACTGCTTTATTACTAACGTGCCATAGGGTGAAGAGAGTGCCAGACAAGGCAGGATTACTGCCTGATGAACCCTGCAGATTAATCACAGAAGAAGCTTCCACAAAACCATGGAAACAAAGATCATATTACCCGTACCACGTGCTCCTTACTTGAGTTATTTGCCTTTGATTTTCTGGATTAATAATAAGCAAGACCCTCCACTGAACACTGTACCTTGTGATTTCATAGAAAACACAGCCAGCACCCCATATATCAATTTTGTAACTATAGTGGCCATTTGTAAGTAAGCATTCAGGTGCTCAGTACCAGCGTGTAGAGATATGTTCTGTATGTGGCTGCTTAGAACAGACACTCCTACGAGATCCAGAATCTCCTAACCTCAGGGTATTCTGCTGCAAAAACAAATAAAGTATTTTGACAAATTAGAAACACTGAAATATTCAAGCCAAGATTTTCCTTAAACGTGTGAAGTAGTCATCATAAAAGAAATCACAGATTACTTTAAGAATAAACTTTCAGAAATCCCAGGGGTAGTATTGTAATAGCAGTAAAACTGCATTTAAATAGCAAGTAGCTCCAGGCTCGAAGATATCTGTGTCCCATAATATGTGCAAATACCGTTCTGTACATCATTAAAAGAAAGAGCTGAGTTAATTGAAAAGCATATGGACTATTACTGAAGGGAAGACTGCTAAATAGGACATCTGGATTAAGTTAGTTTCTTAGAGTTCTTGTGTTGAGCAGTGATGTAACAGGTGGCTTGGGCTTCTCCTTGGAATGGCTTCTCCTGTGTACTTCTAAGACTTAAAAGAAAAATTTATCTCCAGAAAATAAAATTTCCTAAAATGAATTTTGAAATCCTCGCTTTTCAGACATTAGCAAAATAACATTCTGAAACTGTCAGGAGAATAGATTTTAATGAAGAAATCTTCTGAAAGCTAACACCTTCTGCTCCCTTTTGTATGAATAACTTCCACTAAATGTAGGAATTGAATGTAGAAAGAGGGCTGCAGAACTGAACGCTATTGCTTGTTTCTCGGAAAACAGAAATTAATAGAGGATAAAGAACAGGTTTTTAGATTGGAACACATGCAGGCTGTTATGCATCCAATTCATTTCAGGTTTTAGCCAAGAACAAACTTGCCTGTTCATTCCTCTAGATCAGGAATACGGTATTAGAAGTAACTATCTATAGATTTTTTTTAAAACTCTACTTTTATTCATGAAGAAGCATTACCTTCTCAGACTAAAGAGAAAAATACTGATATACTTCACTCTCAGTTAAATATTCTCACGTAAAATTAATTACCTTTATTAATGTTTTCTGGTTTCACATCTCTGAAATATCCCATCTCTGTACCAATATAAACACACCAGAGAGAAGAGATCAGTAAAAAGAGAAACATTATCAGTGCTTCCAGTTATTTGTAAAAAAATACTTCAAGAAACTAACGCTTTCTTCAAACTTATCAACAGCATAGTAAAAAAATTGAATTTTGCCACCACGGTGAGACAACAGCTACAGGTACGGCGGGAATGGGGAAAGGGCAAGTCCAGGAAGGGGAGGCCAGGCTTTCTGCTTTTGCTCTCACCAGGGTTACCAAAGGATTGCAAGGGCCACCCCCTCCCAGGAGGGCTTCCTGCAGCAGGTACTAGAGCTCCTTCAAGGGTGCTGGCAGCAGCATGGGCTGCCTGCTTGCTGCCTTCCAGGGCTCTGCTACAGGCAAAGATGCATCTGGGCAATGGCCTTTTTCCTCCCTGCAGCAGTCTGCTGCCCCAGACAATTGTATGTCTCTGCTTAGAGATGACCCTGAAATAAATGTATGATACGTTTACTGTAAAGCTGTTGCTGAGCCAGGTCTCTTACCTATGTATGCAATCAAGAGATTTGCATAACTGGTACATGTGGTTCTTTTTTTTTTTTTTCTTCCCAGGTAATGGCTTTCTCCTTCCTAGAATTAAATTTCAAGTTGCACAAGTCCTTTTTAGCAAACAACAGAGTACAAAAAAATTACCTTCAGCTTCCAATAGTGCATTGATATTACCTTTTTCAATTATACTATTTCTGTCATTTATAGCTAGCTTTGTAATCCATTTTCCACTCAACTTCAGACATAATTTAGATTTCAGTATGCACCAGAATAGCTCAGCTAACAACTGTCAATTCAATAGTCTGTAATCTGCCTTAGCTTTTACTGCATGTTTTTCTTGCAGTACCTGTTTCCCCAAGTTCTAAGAGAACTGCAATATTTCACTTCTAAACATCTAATTCCCTCTCTAAACAAAGTAACTGTCCTTAAGGTTCAAGATTCGTATCAATCACCTCAAATTACTGCAATGCTTAAATGACCGTGATTCACATTTGACTTGCAAATTAAAGGTTAACCTATGTAGTTTAGCTTGCTATTGCCATTGCGCAATAATGACAGTTATAAAATGTATCTGTTATTTTTTCAGAGCCATTCAGTAACTACTCAGCTTTTTTCTTTTATAGGCTCCAAAGGCCTTTTAATCTTGCTGTAATGCCTTTATGTAAGGCTGCAATGTCATCAACGGAGGCAGAAATGATCACATTTTTGAAAAACAAAGCAGGTACTGATCTGCCTGATGACAGTAGTATGAGTAATTGGCTGGGGAGGAGGAGGGAGATTATCAGGACACTAACTCATTGAGGGCTGCAAGTCCTCGCAGCCAGCGGGACTTGTGTTCCTAACTGATTACAGCACTCCTCCAGTCAGCCACATAATCCCCTGAGCAGGATTAGAGAACAAAGCCCTTGAAACGGAGTACCGTTTACATCGGGAACTGTAGTATTGTTACCCCAGTAGAGACAAATGGTGTTTTCAACATCGGGATTTTTGTCATTATAGTAGGAAAGATTTTATAAAATGCAGCTATTCAAACCAACTCAGATTATTATTAGTATTTAAAAAAACAGGCCTTCATAAAAAGAAGTCATGCTCAATTGTTTTTCCATTACAGGTCACTAGTAAAATCTGGAGCAGATGCTTTTCTACTTCCAGATTTATCATTAGAGAAACCTTAGTTGGAAGTAATGAAGCGAATCATAAGGCAGCAGCACTTGAGGCTACAATTGTTTTCGCTTGAGGCATCTTCCCCACCTCTCTCTGAGCCATATTTTTTTCATCGCTTTAAATGACCAAACTGTTCTGGGTTAAAGAAAAGGCAAGACTGTTTTTCAGTTATTAAATAACTTGTGATACCACTATACATTATGTATTTTAAAATAAAAAAACCATAGCAGAACATACTGAAACTATTAGACTAATTTCCATCTGTATAGAATACTTAATATAGCAGGCTTTTTCACATGAAGAATGAGAGAAAGACTGAGAAATGTAACCAAATGAAAGTGAATACTCTGAGGTAAAAAAAAGGCAGTTAAAGAACAAACCTAAATATTCTGATCTTTCATAACTGAAGTACAGTATCTTTCCTGGAAGGAGAAGATGCAAGATTGTTTTTAATGCACTGGACTAACTTACTATCCAACGAGGACTCCTTCCTATATGCTATTACTCTGACTTTACAACTTAACAGATTTATCCCGGAAAAATAAAATGTCCTATTAAAACCAGCAAACATTCATGTCTGCTTCAGTGATCAGCAAACAACTTGTGTTTTAACCTCAAATTCTTATCTAGGTCAGGAACAGGGTTACTCCTTCTGTTAGAGATCTGAATACTCAGTGTCACATAATGTTTGGGAGCAAGTCGTTTATCTATTCTAGTACACTGAATGACAGTTGCATGCTCAGTTATTTAAATGACTCTCCCAACTGTTAAGACATTACAAATTTTTAATTATTCAGAAAAAAATCCTCTTTTAATATTGAATTATACATAAGTGCCCCTTCATTTGCTGTATCCAACTCTTTTGGTGTCTATATGAGATCTGGTTTTAAATCAGCTTTTGTTGTAAACTTTTTTGTAGGAACTCTTCCTTAAGCTTTACGGTCTCCCATCTGCTTCAACAAACAGCTCCAGGATTTTTAAATATAGGCGGGGGGGGGGGGGGGGGGGGGCCCCCCCCGTTTATTTTATAGGAAAACTTGGTGAAAGGCATTTTTACTAGATATAAAAACTGAAAATCATTATTCTTTGTTTCAGTAATTTTTGAAACAAATGGGAATAATTTTCTTGTTACATGATTACAGTCCTGACCTAACACAGAACCTATTTAAGTTGTACTTTTTGTTACATAAAGCAATTATTTTGTGTTTCGCAGTCAAGGTTGTTTCCCTGTTTTCATGTAAAGTTTGACTGTAGAAATAGATGACCACTGACCTGACTCATTAGAAACCTTCTGCATGCATCCATGCCTTAAACAAGTGGCTATATTGCACTGGAAAGAAATAAAGAGTAAAGTAGTATGGCACAAAATTTCCCTATGAATTTTATACTATGTAATGGTGAACAACCAAGTGAAAAATAATTAAGTCCACTTTGTGATCTATACAAGAAGGGTTTGTGTGTTTCTTAAGCATATGCTACATACCTTTTATCAGCTCATAAATATTCATGTCCATAAGTTCACATATCAGTGAAAGAGAGCCAGCTTTTTTATCACTGAAGAAACAAATACGGAGACTTTAAGCCAGAAATGTTGATTTGTACACAGCGTGGAAAAAAGTACTTAGTTTAACCAGTATTAAAATGGACATTTTCATTTTTAATTGATACTTTCTCATAGAAGTTTTTCAACTGGGGGTCTGAGGTATCATAGTTTTAGTTTTATACTATCCAAAGTGTCCATTGCAAAAGTTAACTGATTTACTCCGTGAAGTTACTTGAAGGCATGTTTTCTGGGCATATCACACTATTCTGTATCAAGAAATTTCCAGTAAATTAACTGATACAATCTTACAATAAAAGATAGGAAAGCCATTACACCATAGAAGAAAATACTTTCTAGTTAGGTCACCAGTAGTGTTCTATTGCATGGAAATGAGTACCTGACTGGAATCTGTGTTTTGCTGACAACAGCAGTTTTAAGTATTATCACGATATGATAACACATCTGACACTTTCTTTTCCATTTCACTGCCCTGCAGAGACAGACGTCTTTAGGTCTTCAGTTTTTCTGATAAGATAATTGCATTAAAGTACATCCCCTCTGCAATGTTCCATTAACCCAGACAGCAAAAGGTTGACGGTACAATCTGCAATTCAGTTTGGAGACAGACTGTGAAAGAGCTAGGCGAGCTGGCTGGCCATCTGGATTACACTTCGTTAACAACACGGCAGCTGAAGCTGAGAATTCCAGAAAGCTAAGTTGCTGACACGATTACCGGCTTTCCATATATTTGTAGAAAACGGGCCTGTCAATAACAGTATAGTACCAGAGCCTTCAGCAGAGGAATAAGACAGCCTGAAGAGCAAGAAAAAAATATTTTAGAGCAGTCAACAAGTTTTGTGTCAAGTATTTGAATAATGAAGTATATGTCTGCTGTAGCATAGTGATGAAGTGTAACGCACAGTAATGGAGTAAATGCTGTCATAAACGCTGATCTCTTTGTGAGACAGAACATGTCCCCAGAAGACACTTAAGTGCCTAATGAGGCTAAGGAACCCAACTTCATCACTGACTGATCTCTTTCCAAATTCATAGCTCCACTGCTGCCTAATTCAGAGGTCTAAACTTCTATTATTTGCAAAGGGGTGTCTGTAAAGTTGCCTATGAAATGATACTGCCAAATACGTTGCTTGGATCCCTAGTTCAAACTGGCAAGTCAAACCAAGATCCTTGAAGTACCAGAACCTATTCCAGCAGATAAGCTCTGAGTGTGCCTTACCAAAATACTGTCTACAGTAGACATGATGTTGTGCAGCTAAAGCATTCACTAGATATGGGACGTGGCTTGAAATCACCAGCAAGTATTACATATTATGAGATGAAGTTTAGCTATGCTTAAAATATATCTAGTCTGTAATTTTAATACTGATGTTGAAATATTTTTGGTCTGCTGCAAGAGAGCCAGAGAAAGTGAGAGTTACATCGGATTATCTTAACAGAAAAGGCATGAAGGCTTCAGAATTTGACAAATTCATTGTTTTTTTTCTTTCTGTTGGAATAAAAAGCTGGTTAAGTGCCTACGGGTTGCTTCTAGACCCAAAAGTTACTGAATATCGTTCAAATAAAGGCATAAGGAAGCAAGAAATGAATGCACCATACTTACAACGCAACTTCATGTAACATAAGGCTATTAGGATGCGGACTCAGCCTCCTTAGCACTTGTATTTCTACAACTTCATGTAACATAAGGTGGACTCAGCCTCCTTAGCACTTGTATTTCTCTCAGATTATTCACTTGTTCCATACTAATGTTGAATTAAAAAGAAAAGAGGAAGACTGACTTGCAATCAGGGACTGGATTGTAATTGTCTTTCTTCCCTGCCATGAGGCTGTCAGAATCTACTCCACTTTAGTCTGTAATTGAACTTGCAAATGCAGGACCTGATAAATTGTTTGCCTGCTTTGTTTCTTTATAGAGCAAACCAGTAATCAGGAGAATGGCTTTATTCCTTCTTGCAGTGTGGAGTGGCTGGACTTACCCCAACAAGATAAGTAGTAATGTATTGTGCTCCAGACATCAGTTACCATGCCAAGGAGCTATCTGGGAGGAATTTTGTGTTGCATAATAGTATGCATGATACTGTTTATTCTGCACTGGTGTAGCATACATTCCAACTAGTGCTCAGCATGATGCTGAAAGTGACAATCTAGCCTTGCCAAATTTAACACTTAAAATTAAGTTTTGATGGTAACCTCTTACATGCAAAATAGACACTATTCAACTATTGTTTAGTTATTATGTTGCCCTCCTAGACTTTAATAAACAACAAAACTACATGCTACAGAAACTCTGGGGAGGAAGCAGGAAACAAATTGCTTTGCACGCTATTTAATGGATCAGAAGAGGACACATACGCCTTTTCACAGTATAACTTAAAGCTAAACACCAAAACAGTATTTTCCAATTTGAAACTAGAAGAAATACCTTGTACGAGCAGGTTCTCTTTAAAACACTGTTATCTGTTGCTAAAAGAGTTCATTTCATTAAAAGAATGTCAGTCAATTTATCAAAGGGTTAAAGGCCTAAAAGATGTTTGAAACATGCTACATGAAAAAAAGAGTCTGCTTGTTATGCCCTATCGTTATGCCCTACCACTGAAGCGTATACCATCTGCCCTTGATACAGTTAAGCAGTTAGTTTAAATACTCTTTTGATCATAAATTGGACCATTTGGTCAGTTGTAGATAACGTATAAATGGACCAACAGTTCTCTAACAACACAACAGAGAATCAGAAGCCACGTTACTTGAAGATATGAGTTCTCTTTTTTTTTTAAACTTACAGTCTTTGAAGCTCTGAGTTACATTGTGAAATCTCACCTAAGAGCAAAATGTCCCATTTTACTTCGTATGTACAAATGTGTCACTCCCACTGATTTCACTAGGAACTTAATATATTTAACTGAGAATACAAAGTCCGTGACCCAAAAGGCATTGTTTGACACCTATATATTTGGAGGAGAATGTCAAGTCTATGTCTATTTCCACACAGCCCTCTCCTCTATTTTCCTAACTAATACAAAGCACCTATTTTGTCACCATATAGCGTCTTGCTGATGGATGTAACTAAATATAAATGCAAATATGAAGTAGAACTAATGCTATACATCGACTAAGGATAAATACAGTATTTTTACCTCACATTAAAACAGTATTTAAAGTAAGACTGAAAAAAGTATTGTCCAGGGGGAGGACTGACACATTTACTCCTATCATTATTTACAGTAAAAAGAAAAACAGCACAAGTATATTCAGTGCACTTGGAGAGGCAGAAATCAGCTATTTAGTCCTCATTCTTCTCGTTTCACCCTCGACCCAGTGGCCAGGCAGCATTTAGTACAGTGGATGACATCAATTAGAGTACTCAGGGAAATAACCCCAATGCCAAATGGGAAGGTCCTGCATAATCAGCAGCAGAGTTCCCTTTCTGTACTACATGCAAACCTTTTAAATACATGTGTATTCAAAAAACTTCACTTAGTCTTAATTTCACATTTCCCCACTGAATTTAAAGAAGATCTTCTGTAGTAGTATGATTAATTATGCATACCTTTCAAAATGTTGCTTCCTGTGTTTACATGCATAGTACTTTCCATGCCTACGACTCTGTCTTCAGAACGTCAGAAAATGTTCCCTCTCCTACCTTACCAACTGGTTTATATTCTAAAAACAAAAATATACTGTTTCAGTATGTTTAAAATAGAAATTGTTATGAAGACTGCATATCAAGCCACACTTGATTTGTTAAATCCTGACTAATGGAAAATTTTTAAATAAAAGGGTTTTTTGTTAACACATAAGGTATTTATATATATATCTTAGACAATAAACTACTACCTCCTTGCTCAGAGACATGATGCCTCTGCACACAGCACTTCATAACTTTTTTCTGCTGCAGCACATTAGCACCTCATACCTGAACTTATTCTTTGCTTCTTTCACCAAAAAAATCCTTTATTTACACTGTACTGAAAACGTAAAATTATCTTGAATAGCAAGTGTGTCTTGTCGTTGTTCCAACACAGGTTTTTTGGTTGTTTTGGTGGGGTGTTTTTGGGGGTTTTGGGTTGGATGTTTTTTGCTTGGTTTTTGTTTGCCTTTTTTTTTTTTTGTAAGCAAAGCAGTTGCTGATTTTAAAGCTTTATTCCCGTATCAAATTCAGATATTAGTATTGCACTAGGCCAAAAATAACGCTTGGCTTTAATAATGAAGTGCACCAAACAAAAGGATGTGAAAATCAGCCAATTCTAGTTCTGCAGAATTTTAAGAGATGAAGCAGATAATATAAGGGTTACGAAGAAAGCTTTATTTATATTAATTTCTGAGACTTTTCCTAATTTCCTTCAGAATCAATATTTCTTTTCTTTCCTCCTTTATTCTCCTTCAGCTTTGCGATTAATGCCTGGTTCCCTTCACCCACCTTGTCCTCCTGTTTCCCTTTATTTTTAGCACCTACAGATTCTATCCTTGATAATTCTTCCAGTAATTTCATCTGAGAAATACCCAATTCTGGTTAGCTTTATGCTGCTGTTGCTTTTGACATAGTCTTATTATTTAAGAAAGATCCAAACCCAGTCATTTTGAGGGAGGCAGAGCAGGAAACCTCTTTTATCATATTCAATGCTTTATGGGAGTCAGAACAACTGTGGGAGTCTTAAGTTATGTTGATAGCTGTAAATTCAATGAAGTGTAGTTGTCTGTATTAGTTGCTGTGACAACAGTCCCTGGCATGGATTTGGCCTGTGACAACCACCACTCTCCTAGGCACCTTCCCAGCCTGATGTGAGGACTCCTTCTAAGGTCATTCCTAAAACAGTTTCTGTCCTACTGCCTTGTTTTGGAAGATAAGAGAATTTACTAGCACAGATGTGGGCCATTTCATGCCAGTTGCTCTTTGTGTCCAAGAAGATTTCCAGATATGTTTAATTTACAAGTATAAATACAGCCTCACAGTGGAGAGAGCCTGCCAAGAAATTTCGTGGAGGGAAAAGTTACTTAGGCAGGGACATTGTAATGCTGTCTCCCAACTACCAAGCAATTCGTGTTGTCTTCATCTCTTTTCTCCTCCCCAACTTTGACACTTACTCCTGTTAAAAAAAAAAAAAGGTCTTTCCTTTCCTTGTAATCCAAATGCTTATATTTTAATTAGTAGAAACCTTCCCCTTGCAAATCCCTCTTTCTCCAATACAGTAGCAGCACTTCTGTGAGAATTGTCAGTTGCTCTTCTTATTTTTATTACCTGCTGCTTAGGTTTTCTGATCATTATCCATCATGCTGGATCATAAACTAACTAATTAGGTCATCTAAATTTGGAAAACAGGAAAAAGCAGAGTAATTTAAAATCAATTACACCATTTAATGCACTCTATACAGACAATTTACATATAGAACTATTTTAAAAGCAGAAACAGAATTTGAAAATCATTACGGGTAAAGGAGGCAATCTCTAACAGAGACTCCAAAATAGGGAAGAGACCATAAGACTGTTTAATTCATGTGGCTGTTATTTGATAACTGGCCAATTAGTGCTTTAAGCAAGGTGATCCCTAGCCTTCGGTGTTCACTAAGCAACGTGACTGAGCAAGTAACATGCTTTGTCGGCAGAAATCACACTTTGCACCGTGCTCTCTACCCCCTTCAGTTTTAGTTTCCTATCTAAATAGCTAAATATAAGATGGAGATTGTAAATTCAGAATACTTAAATCCCACTCTTACAGAATCCCAAAGAAAAAGCGTCAACGGATTTTTTTGGTAGCAACTGATACTCTCCAATCAGTCAGATACACACTGGCTACGTATATGTTCATATAATGTCAGAGCCAGTCCCTGTGGCAAAAAATACCCAAGGCAGATACAAGAAAAATTAGCTATTTGTTGACCTACTCTTTGATTCTAATAAATGGCAATCCCATATTTTTCTTTTTTTAAATGCAAGTAATTGATTCTCTGGCATAAAAAAAAATTCAGATCATATGATCTGAAGATAAGATCTTAACATCTATGGTATACCAGCCATAGGTGTTAATGAACCAAAGTACTTAGGCAGAGAAACACAGGGAAAGCATTATTGTACAAATTTATTGAAAATATTTTTAGATATATTAAGAAGTCTGATAGTATATGTTTATATAATTTGTTTATATTTTCTTCTATACATGTATTCTGCTCCTACAAGAGAAGTCCAGATGACAGTGGAGGGCTCAAAATAATTTGATTTTTTTTTAAATTTTAAACTGAAGAGTTCTAATAGTGTAAGAAGAGTTAATTCTTTACACACTTTAAAACATTCTTACCACACTAAAGATTTTCATGTAAGCATGTAAGGTTTGTTATTTTAATTTTTTACAATAGAGTGCTCTATATACAAAATAAAAACCCCACACATAACAAACAACTGAGGCTTTAACCCGGCACTTAAGAGAGAGCCATCCAGTGAAAAGAATGACAGCAGAGACCTGAAAAATTTCAATGGATTGAATAAAGTGCAGAATCAGGAATGAAAATTGCATTATTTGAAATGTCTCTTTGATGCATAAAATCAATGTGTAAACTCTCAACAAAACAGGCCACTGAAGATGAGAGCTTTTCTCCTAGGGAGAAAATGAGAACGATCATGTGACAAGTTAGTTATCGTTTAATGAGATGCTGAAAGGAACTCAGACATTGTAAGAATAATAACATTAAACTTTATATAGAATAATTGAAACTTCAAATGTACTAACAATTTAACACAAATTTTGAATTTGCGTCCACAAGCCAAGATTTCTGGAGATTCCTAAAAATCCACTTCAGTACCACCTAACTGATCCTTCAAAAGTGACTAGGTGGCAAAAAAGCCCCCACCAAAATGACGGATTTCAAACACACACTGAAAGAGAACAGTCAGGTCAAAGCGTGTCAATTTTAAGCTACGAAACTTACTACAGCTACAAACCAAAACTAATTACCTGTTAGTTTACCTGAATTTGTGGTACTCAAAGATGGAGAATGACAGAAATGTTAAAAATGTTATCAGCATTTTAAGACTGAAAGCTTTGAGGATGAAATTAAATAGACAGTGTCTTAATTACACTTGCATACAACATTACAGAATAAAGAAGACCTAATCATGGGTTAGCAATTCTTTCATGGCATCTATAACAAGCTAGATATTACCTAACCTCCTCCTTCCCTCCCCTCTGTTTCAGCACACACAGATGTTCAGGCTTAGAACAGTTAGCGGAAAGGCAGATAAAGGTTAGGAAGAGTAAGTTGTAGCAATCTGAACTAGTCTAACACCAGAAAAGTGGCCATGAAAATGGCAGAGAGGTAATCAGTCAATAGAAGGACAGTTTAATGTGCAAGAGGCTACAGGACCCAGGAAATTAAGAACAACGTAAATTAAAATTATGGGCAAGTGATGGAATTCAAAGACTACACCCGTATTACTGTAACTAGAGAGCACAGAAAATCAATCATCATTTGGAATTAAAGAATCCAATGCAAAATGACAGAAAAGATAGCACTACAATAGTCAAAATAGGATATTATAAAAACCTAAAGCAGATATTCTGTTGCAAAGATGCCGAGATGCTGAGGAAGAAAAAGCCATGACATTTAAATATGACATTGAGGCATGTGGGAAGAGAGAAATAACCAAAAAAATTAAGAAAGCAACAAGAAGTTCAGCTTTCAGCCACAGTCACAAGGCCATGACACATAATTGTTGCATTCAGAAACACACCAGATGTGTAGGATCTGAGAAAGTACTTAGAGAGACCAGAAGACAGACAGGCTACTCCTTCACAGGAGTGGGAGAAAGATTTCTTAGCACCCTGTTGAAGAGGAGGACTGGCATGCAGAGGGAGACCGGCGTTTACATGTGCGGTCTCGGTAAGGAGATCTAGGAACTGGCAACGGGCTGCAGCGACGGCGGTTTCCTGGGACTACAAAAGCACCTACGACCACCTCAGCGCGGGTGCTCCCCACGCGGCCCGGGCCCCCGTCCCCCTCGGGCCAGGGTCGCCGCTTA